TAAATCCTAATTGTTATTTCGCATCGTAACACTCTTCTTAGTTTCACATTTTTCGATTTAATTTACCCTCTCGTCTCTTCCTTTTACGCTTCAAGTTTCAAGTTTCTTCTTGCTTCTTATCTTGGGACAACTAATGGAAATTGATTTCAAATAAGAACTCCATTAACATCTTCATAAATTAGTAGGTGGAAAAATTTTAAAGTAAGTTTAAAAAGACCCGGGAAGCGACTGATGCGTATAAATTTTAATACAACTTATTCAAATTCTAGAATAAAATCGTGTTTCACGGGGATTGATCGCAATGCAAATAGTGTCTAAAAACTCGACTGCCAGGAGTGATTATTGAATAGGTTTCAGCGAAGAAATTCTTTCGAGAATCGACGTGGACGATAATGTGTTTAGATGGGTGGTACTTCTTACTGTCGGTATTGATCGGAAGATTATGTGAAATTGTTTGCCGTGAACAGATATTAAAACGACGGGAGATACTTCTATAATTGAAACGTTTTCATGAGATTCTCGAGAGCTCGAGCTCTTCGATCCTACTTATATCAATATCAAAGTTCGAGGGAAGCTTATAGTTTTTCTTCGGAAGCGTTTCACTTCGGTAACAGACACTCCCATTACAGGCGATATTTATGCCTCGAAATCCAATGATAGCGGAAAACTGAACGGACAAAGTGTTCGTTAAGCTCTTTCCCTGTTACCGTGCACTTTGTCTTAACACAGATTTCTATTAAGATTTTTTGCTTCCCCGTCGACTGTACTTAAGTACAGGACCAGCAGACAATAAGACTGATTGATAGTTTTCTTAGAATCCTAATTTATTTTGCAAGATATCTTCGTCGTGTAATATCGATAGAAATATTTGTAAAACAGGAACTGTCGCTGATCTCTTGAAAAATTAATTGTGAAGTCCAATTAAGAGTTTCTTTTTGCGAAAAGAAAATATTCTATTTACATAAGTCGATATTACGAAAAGAAGAAAAGATTCTAATCTGTTTAATTTTGATACGTAATAAGTAAGTGTATGAGTAAGATTGTATTCAGAATAGTGTTTGTGTTAGTTTTTAAAAATAGAATCGAGCAAACACGACCAATGACGAAGTTTTCTATTTGGAGAAAGGTGAAAATCTTTGATGTACTTCGGTAATGAAGTTATGGTTCTTTGCCTTGTATACTGTAAAAATAAACATAGCACGTCATATGAATATTCTGATCGTAACGTTGGTCTTGGCGTGCTGGCCAAATTACTATACTGCGGATGTTGAATATTTGAGTAGATCTACGTCCTGGCAGGTTGCGCAATTTCTTCATAAATTCTCTTTTTTCGTGGAGATATTTGAATAAAAATTCACAGCTAAAGGCAACATAAATAATTCTTCTGCTGTTGGGAAACTCACATCAAATGCACTAATTCTATGAAAATACTAACGAGACTTGTGTTACCGAAGCCAGAAAAAATAAATTATACTTTCTAAAGAATTCCAAATTGGTAATTTCAACTTTATTCGCCAGAATAGAATTTTATGTCATTTAAGAATAATTGAAAATTGAATCGAAAACTTTGGACACATCATAGACGAAATTTTAATTAATTTTTAAGCATATAACGTGTGTGTCCACTCACTTTAGTCCTAAAGTAGGAAATCACTGATCACATTTTCAACTGTCCATTTTTAGTATTTATTTTAGCTACTGATCATATACTTATTATTATACAAAATTATTGAATGATTTGTGATAGATTTGGTGTACGAATTTTCACGTAAAAAATTGAGGACAGTTCCATTTGATTTAACTGCAGTGTGAGATCGGAATCAATTATTAAACTTTAACCTTTTTCAGTGATTGACGCGGAGCAAATAATCTTAGAAATCATCTCTATTGCTATGATCTTTATTAGATTCGAAGGAATCGAAGGATTCTTATGGATGTTAAATATTGACAGCTAGGAAAGCTGTCGGCAACAATTGTGGTTAAACGTAACTAGGAGAAAAATATTTCGTTCTACCTCGCTGTTCTCCGATATCTTATCTCATACTTTTCCTTCTACCAGACGAGTAAATTTTATTATTATTTTAGCCACACGGCTCGATTTCTCACCCGAGGCTCCGCAAATAGTAACAGAATTTTCGATCCAACAGATTGATAAAAATAAAGACGAAACCGTAGGAACAATGTTCATCTTTCCATAAATAATTTTGTCGTTCGCGAAAGTAGTACTTTTCATAATTTATTTCGTATCCGGGAGGAAAGAACCGTATGAAAGACTTTAAGTACCGCGTGGCGTCTTTGAAAGCTCGATAGATAACGATTAATCGCCGCCCACCGCAGCCATTAAAATTCTACGCGCGATAACTGAACGCTTCCTCGCGTTTCCCAATAGCCGAAAAAATTCACTAAGTTCTCCTGTATTTCGTTCAACGACCGTCGAACAATTTCTCTGCATCGAATGCAATTCTCACGGATGGCGCCCGATTAAAATTCGCAATAATGGCCCATTGACGATCGGTGAAAGAGGGACTTCGACGGCAATTTTCGACAATTGTCGACCGTCATGTTATAAAAATTTTTTCGCAATCACGGTATGAATACTTGTGAATATATTTATCTCGTATAAATCGACTTTTCGCGAGATGCCGGTGGACTATGTTAATGAAAACAATCAGTCACCAATTTGGTTCCTTGTTAGGTAAATTAATTTATTACATTTACAGATAAAACTGTTAATGATGAAAACCTAAAGCAAAATTGGTCCATAGATAATTATGACTAATTCTTGAATTTTTTTTATTTTCCTACTATACAGGGTGTTCGGCCACCTCTGGGAAAAATTGTAATGGGAGATTCTAGAGGCCAAAATAGGATGAAAATCGAGAATACCAATTTGTTGATGGAGGTTTCGTTCAAAAGTTATTAACGTTTAGAGTTCCTCCCGTATTGAATTTTTTTTTCGAAAATGTGCAGGATTTCGGGGGTATGTCTATTCACCAAAAATGATTGTAATTGACCCCCGGAACCGAAAATAATTTTTTCAAAATGACTTGAAAGAATTTTTTAAATTTCAGGGAAAAATGTCATGTACGGTCAGACATTAGATTTTCGGTAAGGAATTTTTTTTCGAAAGTAGTTAGGATTTCGGGGGTATGTCTGTTCACCAAAAATGATTATAATTGATCCCCGGAACCGCAAATAATTTTTCTAGAATGATTTGAAAATTTTTTTCACTGAAAATTTTTAGCCCTGTCGATTTTTCTTCAAAATTCGTTCTAGATTTTTAATAATTTTGTTTGACGCTCTACAGAAAAGTTGTCTAATACTTTTTTGTAGATACCCATGGGCTCTACGGCAGAAAAAAGTTTCATTGAAATATATTCACTATTGTAGGAGTTATGGATGTTTGAATATTGGAGCATTTTTATGGGGTTTTTCTAACTTTACGGTGTCAAGGAATAACTTTTTAAATATTGTTAGAATTTCTACATATTCTTCACCAAAATACGCGTTGTTTGCCGTTTGAAACATTAAAATCCTCCAATCGGTTCAGAAGTTATGATCTTTCAAAGATTCACATGAAATTTTGGGGAACCATTTCTGGTCAGATATTATATTTTCGATAAGGAATTTTTTTCTCGAAAGTGGCTAGAAATTCGGGGGTATGTGTATTCACCAAAAATAATTGTAATTGACCCCTGCAAACAAAAATAATTTTTTCAAAATGATTTGAAATTTTTTAACAATTTTTTAACGAAGCTTCAGTCAAGAAATTGATATTTTTGATTTTCGTCTCATTTTGTCCTTTAAAATGTCCCATTAAAATTTTTTCCAGGGATGGCCGAACATCCTGTATAATATTTGTGAGAATAAAATATAAGTTCTAGTAAACCTCATGATAGAGATAGCTATGCAATTAAATTTTTAATTTATATATTCCTGGGAATATTGCTTCGTATATATAATTATTACTTACATTAAAAATGGTTGAAGAATATTGTAAAGCTCCTAACTATTTAAATATTTCAAATTTTGTAAACTGAAACGATTTTTGCAAATAATCCCCTCTATCATTGTTTTTTCTTTTCAACCACATTATCCGCTTTTCTTCTAAATATCTCTTCCATATTTCAGTGTCCCATTTCCTGACCTTATTTCGATTTTTTGCTTTTTACTTGCCTCTAACGTTGTTCGGTGTAAATACTTCTAGACTTAACATTCGTCTTCAATATTTCACCCTTTCCTCGTTCGTCCTCGTAACTTCACAACTTCCAAAAATATTTGCTTTTCCAATCCATAAACATACATTGCATAATTATTTTATATTTGACTACTGTTACAGTTTCAAATTTGTTTCCTTTCCATCTCCATGTTTCCCTGCTCTGTCGCCATAACTTGAGAACGAGGTCAAATAGGGCACATGTTGGTACGAGTTTTTTCCGTCGTTTTCGTGTCCCCCACTGGATTCCATATTACGATACACCCCGTGTAAGGTTATCCCCTTCTGGTAAATAGCTACTACTACTTCGCATGGTGCCTCGCCAGCGCGTTGCAACGTCGTTAACCTAATCGTTCTTAACCTATATGCCGCTCGTCTTTGTCCTAGCGCTATCCGCCCAACTCTCTATCCACACGACTTGCTCCACAGGCTAGCCCACTTCTTAACATCCCTTCCCCACACCCTCTCTTTCATTCCTTCACTCAATCATCTCTCTCGCTCTGATTCCTTCCACCCCCTTTCTCGTACCTCCCTGTCTCTCATATCTCCACCCCCACCGACACCCTATTTACTACCACCTCTACCCCTCGTCCCTGTGACCCCCTTCTGCTTTCCACCCATGCACCCTCATCCCACCTACACCACCCCGTCTCTACTCATGCTTCGTTGTATCCTACCCTAATCCTATTTCCCTTTTCTACCTTCCTCATACTCCTACCCCTTGCATCCCCTTTTTTAGAACACCCTAAGCCCTTTTTCTCCTTTCCCCAATTCCTTCATTCACCTAATACCCAACCCCCCAGCTTCCAGGATTTCTATCACCTCTTCCTCCACTTGTACATCTTTCCGTGACACTGTGATCATGATCCTAGGTTCCCATTCACATACTCCAACACCTTCCAACATCCCCCTTTAGCCACTACCTTTTTCCTCTTATCTCATTCCCTATCTTAATTCCTCTCACTTCGTCTTTTCCTGCAAGCTTCTTGGGATCTCTAATCTCCTATTCCTGGTCGATTCTGACCATTTTGGGGGCGATTGGAAAATTGTGTATTGTCCATGCCTTTTCTTTCATTCGAAGTACCTATTTACAGTGATGTGCAAAAATTCTTGCGTCTATCTCAGTGCAAAATAAACATTCTGCACTTCAAATTAACCCCTTTTCAGATCACATCTTTCCAGAAATTTGTTTTTTTAACAGTGTATTTAAGGAACCCCTAATTGACAGGTTTCATTGAATTTGATCGACGCAACGATATAAATCCATCCCCCGGTTAAAAGAAGGGCCAAATTTTAATGGAAATGGTTAAAATGTTTGTCCCTGAAGGGCTCTAAATCATGGTTCGCATTTAACTACCGGTTTCCAGATTTTTTGGGAAGTAAATGGCCCATCGTGCGTGGCGCGTTGTTACAAATAAATCGATGTCCCGTTCCGACAGTTCCATAAATAATTACCCATTGTCGCCTGCCGATCAGTTTGACATCGTTATTACAGCTCATCGGCGCTCGCGATAATAGCGGCGAAACGATGGCGGCCGAGCAAAGCTCCGTGAAAGTCTGCAAATAATTTATGTTGCGCGACGTCGACACGCAAGCCCGATTATGCCGGTATAAGCAATTTTCGCATCACTGTCGACCCGTCCTTTGTGCCCATTAATCGAATTTCCGGTATCCATTCAGCACGGCTTTTAATCGTGTAGCGTGCATAATTGGCGAATAGGCGATTGTTCCGTGACACCCTCGAATTCGAATTTCTGCCACGGGACCCGCCGTTTTTACTTCCGGATTCCTAAACCGACGTACTCGACTTTCCAGCTTTTCCACCCTTGAATTTAAATTAATAAAGTGGCTCCATTTTAGTTCTTTTATCACAAGAGATTTCTTTAAATACGTTAAACACAAGAGATTTTTTTAAATACGTTACACCGGAATAATTTTCATTTCAAATTCGAAGTTTATCGTTTCGTTAATATTAGGTGTACAAATGAATAATCCACATTATCTTAAGCAGTTATAAAATCAAGTTTAAAGTCAATAGACTTTCCCGCTCTTTTGCGGTCATATAGTGTTGACATATAGCTAGTGAAAACAAAGGATAGTTCAGTGATAGGTCCAACATAACCTTGAAAAGTATGCTTTTCGCTGCTTCGCTGAGGGTAGGAACTCGTGATATTCGTAGGAGGACAGAAAAGGAAAGGAGGGGGCGCGTTTCGTCCGGGCCTGCTAGTGGACTCATCAGTAAGGCTTTCTAGCAGGCCCTGCCTTAGACGACTGGGATATTGGGAAATATTTTTTTTTTTATCTCTTTCTCCTGTTTCCTCTGCAGTACCATGGGCTGGCGCCCTATAACCTGCACTTGAAATGTTTGTTAGTGTCTGTAATGTTTATGAGGATGTGTTATTGTGGTTTTCCTTGGGTTAGGGCTCGAGGGAAAAGTTTCAAAAGCCTCGTTTACATGCATCATGCGATGAGTGTGGTGCTGTGGACGGTTAGCTGATGATTAGTCTGGGAGTTTGTATTCGGATCTTTAATGGTATATCTTCGGGGTCGTAATTCCCTAGTGACGCTACTAAGGGGTTTGGATGCTGGGAGTTAGTAACTTGAGCTGCGGCGGCCAGCTTCATGACATGCTCGTGGATATACTCGATTTTTGCTTCTTCATGCAACGAAGCGATTGTGTGATAGCGCGGTTTGTTTAGGATGACGCGGAAGTATTTGTTTTGTACAATTTGGATTCTGGATATATGTGATGTTGCTAAGGTGCACCATACTGGAGCGCCGTATGTGAGGATGGGCCGGATACAGGTTTTGTGAAGTCGGATTTTTAGTTCTGTGGGAAGGGGACTATTTCGTGCTAGGAGTGGGTATAGAGTGCGGAATGCTCCGATGCCTTTGCAAGCCCTATCTTTGGAGTTGTGTTGCCATTTTAGCTTATTATCGAACCATATGCCCAGGTATTTAACTTTAGTGGACCAGTTAATGGGGTGGTTATCTATTGTGAGATTGTTAGGGTTGTGGAGTCTTTTGAGGGTGAAGATAGTAGCTTTTGTTTTGGTGGGTTTGTGGTTTTGAGAGTATTTGATAGCTTGGTTTATTTTCCACGACGAGGAGTATACTACGGTGTCGTCTGCGTAGAGAGCTAGTTTGGTGTTGGGATTTTTGGGGATGTCATTGATGAATGTATTGAATAAGATGGGTCCCAGGACTGACCCCTGCGGTACCCCAGTATGAAGTGGATATTGGGAAGTCGTTAGAGGAATGTATATATAGCAACCGAGGGGTTGGTCGAGCGCTTGTGAGAACGCGAGCCCTCTGGTGGCGAGCATGGGAGGCGACGCCACAAGTCTTGGCTGGGACATCTTGCAACACCAGGCGTATTCACCAGACATTGCTCCATCTGATTATCACCTGTTCCGGTCGATGCAACACGTCTTATCCGATATGCACTTCCAATCACTGGATGAGATCCGAAAAAGCCTTGACGATTTTATCGAGTCCAAAAACGTAAAATTTTTCCGAGATGGAATTCATCTGCTGTCTCAAAGATGGCTTAAAGTTACAGGAATTAACGGCGAATACTTTGATCGAACAATTCAATTTACTTTCCTTTAGAATAAACATTGAATGTGGCTGAAAAAATGGGATTATTCATTTGCACACCTAATATTACGAAGTGCAATAAATCGTTATCGATACAGAGGTGCGTTTGCATGGGGAATGGTGTTCGAAGCTCTCGATGAAGAGGCTCGTTAACACCGGAAGCGTCCGATGGATCATAATGATCCGTTCGAAACTTCGCAAAATGCAGATTCCCGATATTGGTAAATATTATCGTCTGAAACTTCGTTCCTTTATTCCCCTGCTTTGAAGCAGTGAAATTAATATCAGACTTTTAATTAGCAGTACATGCACAATAGAGTAGCAGTTTATCAGAAGAAGTAATTATATAATGTTAATAAGGCACAAGTGTTTCGTGCAAGAGACAAGTATTTTACCCCTTTTAGTGCTTAATATTCGATACTGGTTTCTTTCATTAATTTGTAACGTTTCAAAAACTGTCGAGAAGAAAAAATTATAATATAATATAGTTTGCGAGAGTCATGAGAGTATTAACAGCGTAATTATCAATAAATTAAACTTTTAGACGTGGCCAAGAATAAAATTGGTCCTCCTTTGCTAATTCACCGAATAATATATCAACGATTGTTACTAATATATTTCCCAGCAGTTAAAATGGACAGGTCACGTAACAGCGTCGAAGATTTAGTTTCCCAAAAATGTCGTGCGATTTCTACCGTTGAGCGTGAACGGGAACAGAAACTGGTCCAATAAAAAAGTCTCCAATAATTTCAGACCACACGTAGCACGAAAACTGATATTGGTCTTGAGATTGATTGCTAGCACTCGGATTTTCATACATCCGCAGATGTTGCTTGCGAACATTCGGAATAACGTCTGGTATAAATTTTCCTTTGTACGTGATTAGACACAGACATTATCACGCAATTGCATGTACCATCGATAAAAGACTATTTTTAGTCGACGATTCGCCAGGAAAATTCTCTGTGCTCTTATTTCTCGACTTTTAGACAGAAACTGGACGAGAACGTGATGCCTGAAAAATTTCAAATTTGACGCTGGTAAGCCGAGCCGCGCTTCAGTTAAAGTTTTAAAAATCCAGCGATCTTATGGCTGTCTCTCGCGTAATTCCGTATCGTTATTTTAAGGTTTGTTCTAATAAATCTTTATTTAATGGTAAAAATTGGATATCAATGAATAAATCCGGCAGTTGCAGAAAATACTGCTTAACACTCCGTGTGAATTATAATTGCAAGCATCTCGATGCAGCCACAGATTTTTCAAAGCCTCCGTCGTTGCGTTCGGAGGATAACAAGATTCGCGAATTGGTAGCCGCGTTAATGCCCGGGATAAATGCGCGAATAAAAGCGAACGACGCGAATCTCTGGCTGACGACTTCTTTCACGTCCGTTCTTCATTGTCAGCGTCGCGGCGAGAAGTAATCGGGCTAACGATTCAAGAAAATCGCTCTGCTGTCTAATGTTGCAACTTCACCGCGCATCCTGCCCTATTAAACTGCAGGAAAGGGTACGCCTTGATTACACGCTTGCTGAATTGCACGACGAGTTTGCGGCTCATGGGGAATATCGGTCACGCTTTGACGACAGGATTCTCTGAAAACATTTTTCCGTACGTCTGCTTCGGAGCTTGGAACAACCCATCTTGAAAAATAAAATGGGCTTGAAAACCAGTGTGGAATTTTAGGAAGTTTTACTTTAATAAATTCCAAATAATTTAAAATAAGAAAGTAACAATATTAAATGAAAGCCACCGTTGGTTAACATCAACTGTAAATTAGGGACATTGTTCATTGTACAGTTTCTAGTAAGAAAGTTGTAGAACTGAATGGTCGTTAATTTCCTGTTTAATCATTCGATGTTGGACAGAAGAGAAAATACACTGGACTTAAGTAATTATTATCTTAAACGTAAAGGTTTCCACGATATGGAGTGTTTTTGGAACCCCTAACACGTATTATACTGATCCCCGCCTAATTATGAGCTTCCGCCCGAAACTTATTACAACCCATCAAGTTGTTAAAAACTGCAGTAAAAAAAGAGGCAAAATTAGCCAAAGCTCTGAACGAACGTGTGCACTAACAACATTTAGAATTATGACATTGATGTTGTGATAAATATTAAGTTATAAAATTCCTAAAATGTCTTGACTATCTTACAGTTACTCAAACTTAGTTAAAATTTTAATATTTCCTGAAGCTATTATCCAAGTTAAATCAAGGAAATACTGGATGGGGTATCGAAACGTGTAAAAAAGCATTGTTCATTACTGCATCGTTTTCAAATGCATCACTAAATAGAGAATATTTT